GTGTGTGTGTGTGTGTGTGTGTGTGTGTGTGTGTAATTTTTTGTTTCGTTAATATATGGTACTTTATTTGATACACTGTCACAAAAGAGCAAAATAAATTTCTCTTTTTTTTTTGAAGTGTCAATAAAGTTTCAGTTGTCAAACAGATGTTCTGGCAGACTGACATCTTAAAGACTTAATTTYGCTTTTACTCCTGCTGCTTTAAAAAGTTTGCAGTAAATATTTGTCTTGTGACTTGTTATTTTTCATCATTATTTCTAAAAGTAAATATTTTAGTTTGCACTGTTTCACTGTTTGTGCTTTGGAATTTAGCCACATTTTTGTCTTTGAAACAAGCAAWGCAAAGTTAAAACTGAACTTTCAGGTTTACCTTATCTGTTTCTTCTCAGATCTCATGTTTGTCTTTTTGCAACCGCCTTCTGCCAAAACAAACCTTTACATTTCCTCCTTTTTTCRTCTTGGTGTGATAACAGTAACGTTTTTGTTTTTTTGCTGCCCCCTGCAGGCTACCTGTGTGTACACGTGGAGAAGGATGAGAGCCTGGGGACCACCCTGATTCTGACCTGGGTGCCTAATTCCCGCATCCAGAGGCAGGATGAGGAGGCGCTGAGGTACATCACCCCGGAGAGCTCGCCTGTACGCAGGAACGCCCGCCGCCGAGGCAGAAGGTACGAGAARACAAACTGTAAAATGTTTGGATGAAGAAAGAGTTTTTAAACAACTCAACACATTTTACATCCTCAAATGAGTTCAAGTTAATTTAATGATGTTAGTTTGAACCATCCGTCCACTGTAGGCCGCGGTCCCGTCCTCCAGCCGCTCCAGAGGAAGTCGAGGATGAAGAGAGGAACATTACCAGCAGCACATCCACCGAGAGCCAAAGCCTGGCTGGAGAGGGTGGTCCGGACCCCCTCTCCAACCAGCAGCACCTACTCTCCGCTGGGGAGGAGGGTGACGAGGGTTCCTGCGAGCTGTCGGACGAAGTGAGCCGGGACAGCACCATGGGTTCGGACTCGGACACCTTCTCCTCCCCGTTCTGCCTGTCTCCTGTTAGCGAGGCTCTGTGTGAGAGCAGCGGCTCCGTCTTCCTGGACAGTGAAAGCAGGTCAGTGAGAGGAAGGATGTGGGCTTTGGTGTTACAGTATTTAACTCCGTCTAACTAGTTCGTTTACTTGTGTCTCCATCTACTTTTAAATTTAAATAAAGGACAAAATTCAAACTACTGCCTGAACATCCTGACTGTTTTCACCTCACCAGTTAGCAGTTTGTGTGCTGCAGCAGGATTRAGTTCTCCTTCCCTAAACAAATCTTTTAGGATCTTGCTTTGTGCATTGTATGTTTTGCATCCTAGTATCAACATTATGGACCTTAGATGCTGAATTTCCTCAATTTATTTTTTATCTAATGGTAAATTACAAAGCCCATCCAGTGACATAAGATAAAAATATATTATGGCCATGAGATAATTATTGCAGAAACTGTTTTATTGTTTACATCACATGTGTCAAACTCAAGGGGTGACTCCTGTGTGACCCGCCAGGGGGTAGCCCCCAAAAATAAACAAACAAACAAATAAACAAATATCAATGGTAAACTTTAAATTTAAAATGCAACAAAATAAACTTAAAAGGTGAAAAATGATAACAATTGACCTACCCCTGAGCTGTTGACTTTAAAGGGGCAATATCATGTAAAATCAACTTTTTTGAGTTTTATATCATGTTATAATGTTATACTCACATAAAAACATGCCCAAAGCCTTGCTTTGACTCACTCATGCATGTCTGAGAAATCCTGCAGCGTTTTTAGGAAG